AACTAGATCGTGATTCATATTTTTGTTAAGTTTTTTAAGTGATTTATTAATTAGGAGTAAGTTGGTGTCATCCGCGAAGTGATAAGCAGTAGAAAATTTAAGAGAAACATTTAAATCATTGATAAAAATAAGAAAAAGTAATGGACCTAAAACCGAGCCTTGCGGAACACCATTAAAAGATTTAGCTAGTCCTGAGTTGATACCATTAATTGAAACAAATTGTGTTCTATTACAAAGATAAGAGGAAAACCAGAGAAAAGGAATACCTTTTATACCGTAGTGTTTCAATTTTTCTAAGAGGTTTGTGTGCTCAACTGTATCAAATGCTTTTCTTATGTCAATAAAGACTCCACACGCAAAGTGTTTAATATCGATGGCTTGTCTAATTTTCTCTGTTATTTCTATTAATGAATGAGTGGTTGAGTGTTTGTTGCGAAAACCATACTGGTGTTTGTAAATAAATTTATGTTTTTCCAAAAAATGCTCGAGTCTTTGGAACATTGCTTTTTCAAATAGTTTACTTAAGTTAGAAAGAAATGAAATAGGTCGATAATTGGAGTAGTCTAGATAAGAACCCATTTTGTGTATAGGAATTACTTTGGCTACCTTAAAAGCTTCTGGAAAAATACCATTTTTGAAGAATTATTCATCATAGTAGATAGAGGTTTGGAGATTATGTGAGATACCAGCTTTAGTAAAAATGTTGGCAGACTATTGAGACCAAGGCTTTTATTATTTTTAAGAGTATCTTTTATGAGATTCGCCACCTCATTTTCAGTCACGGGCTCAATGAAAAAAGAATTAATACTAGGTATTTTAAGAAAGTTGCCAAAAGCACATTTAGAGGGAACAGTATTTTTAAGTAGTTCGTCTTGAATAGTCGTAAAATAATTATTAGATATATTAGCAACACTGGTATGATCTGAGATGACATTTTCATTGATTTTGAGGTTAAAAGACTTAGTAGAAGTAGATGGTTTGATGTTTATGATTTCCTTAATTCCTTTCCAGGTATTCTTTACATTATTGATGTTGTTATTGAAAAAAGATGCGTAGTACAATATTTTAGAATACCTTAACAAACTACTAACTTTATTTCTGTATAACTTAAATTTAGTAAATAATATATTTTTTGTATTCACATTTTTTGATCTAGTAAATTTTTTATAGAGTATGTTTTTATTAGAAATTGATTTAAGAATACCAGAAGTTATCCAGGGTTTAGATTGAAGTTTAATTTGTTTTTTTGTTAGTTCTTTGTAAGGAGCATATCGGTCTAGTATTTTTTCGAATGTTTTAAGAAAAAAATTTATAGATTCGTTTATGTTATCATCGTCTTTTATGAGAAGCTCCCAGTAAATATCGGAAATTTCTTGGATAAAAGAATCAGAATCAAATTTTTTAAAGCTTCTTTTAAACATTTTTACTTTTTTTTTAATGGGTGGGTTATTAGGAATACAGACGAATTGTGCCATGTGGTCAGAGATTAAAATTGTAAGATTACCAGAGACTATATCAGTAGGAAATGAATTCATGAAGATGTTATCAATAAGGGTTTTAGTTTTTGCAGTTACACGTGTTGGAAGAATTATGGTTGGAAATAAGGAATGAGAGCACAGAGATTCAAAATAGTTAGAAATGACTTGTGATTCTCTATAATTCAATAAATCTATGTTGAAATCGCCCATTAGTACAATATTTTTTGCTTCATGACTTAACTTTTCAAGAAGAGGATTAAAATGGATAGATAAAAATTCAGTGATGTTTAAAGAGGGATGCCGATATATACATCCAAAAATGGTATTACTTTTAAGTGGATATATAACTTCAACAAATATAGACTCTAGAAATTTGGTGGCATAAATTTGGAGATCACTACGAACTATGTAATTAAGATTTGAATTTAGGTAAAGAAGTGCACCACCTTTTTTTGATTCTGTTGGACAGTGCTCAATGTTATATCCTTGTATGGTAATGTCAGTTATATTAGAATCATTTGCTATAAGACTCAGTAACTCCTATTACCATGGGAGGAGTATTAATGGTACCAACAAAGCTGGAGAGATCATTTATGTGAAATGGAAGAGAAGAAATATTTAGATGAAGATAAATTTCTGTACCAGGATTAATAGATTTATTTAGTTCATTAACGTCAAGGTATTTGCATTTAGTTGTTGGATTAAAAACATTGTTCATGGTTTTAAATAAGTTTTTGAGATAATCAGGGGGTTCATGAAATTTTATTTTATTAGAAGGATTCTTGCAGGAAAGAGTTGATTTAAGTTCCAGATCGGAGAGTACGCCAAATGGCATATTGTTTAATATGCAGTTAGGGCAAAACCATTCAGAAGAGTCATTGGAAAGCATATTGTAAGCATGTTTGTCAACTGGAATACATTTTGCATGAATCCAAAAGGAGCAACAATCGCATTGGATGGCTCTGTGATTATCTTTTATTTTTTTATTGCAAAACTTGCAATGGTGACAAATTTTCATGATATAGATGGTAAAGCCGTTTATAGAACAGAAAATATAGAAAATTAAAAGAGAAAATAATCAAACAATAAACAGTAAATGGATAAATAGCAACAGTAATCAGTAGTAGTACGTAGTTAATTATTATCGAAATTATAAATAAAGAGTATAAATTTATAATATTAATTAATAACTAAGATAAAATAATAAACAATAGATAAAATTAAAATAATATAAATCCATAATAAATAAATGTATAAGAATATATAATAATGATAAAGTTATAATAATGATCAAAAAATATAATAAAATTATATATAGTAAAATAATTTAAATATAATAAAATATATAACAAAACTTCCTAAATAGATAATCTAATGATAAATAAATAAATAATATGTGATAATACAACTTAGATAGATAACGGGAAAACCTTATTAACTAGAACTAATGAATATAATTAAAGATAAATAAATAGTTAAAAAATATGTGAAAAAGTGAAAAAAAAAAAAAAAAAATAATAATAATAATAATAAAATAACAAATAAGTTAAATAATTATATTAAAAATAATAACTACAAATTATTAATAAACCCTAAGCTGTAACAAAGGAATCCAAATGCGACAATGCACACCAAAACTCAACAATGTACACCAAAAGTACACACAGGGACACCATCCATGTGCAACACAGCACTATTAGTACTCTGATACTGTACAGCTGTTGATGGAACCAGCCTCTCTGAGAGTTCTTTATCTCAGAGTTTGGGAAACTTGACTACTCAGAACCATAAAACTGAGTTTTAGAGCTGTATCCTTATTAGGAGATAATAGAATGAGTTGCCTAGTCAAAAAAACATAGACACAAGCAAAACCCATGCATTGAGTAAAGAAGATCCAGCTTTCAACATCCTAAACTAGAAACAACGTATTATAAATACATCTATGCCAGCCTAATAGATGAAGAGGGGATGCGAGGCTGGTCAACAGATAGAATCTGTTTTCCCCTTAGGTTTTTGCCTAGGAAGCATTCTATAAAACAGTAGCTGTATGCATTTAACGTCTGACCAAGATAAGTATTTTTATTGAGACATCATGTCTAGCCTTTACTTAACCAAGAGCCCCAAGGCAGGAGGTGTTTTAAGTTGGAGTTAGCTTCTCATAACTTTTGCCTATAAAAGCGTATCCTACAAGGCAGCATGACATGAAGTAGGTTGTACTGGGTTACATGTTACCAGTAGCAAAATAACCTGACTTGGCCTGAAAGTTAGGTTAGGTGAAAAAAACAACAAGGAGAACAAGCAAGGGAGTGATCAAAAAAAAAAAAAGAGAACATGCAAGGGAGTGCTGGTACATTGAACAAAGGTCTGGGTCAGGAAAGTAATTTTTATTTTGATTTAATTTTTATTTTATTTTTTCAAAAAAAAACTAAAAAAACAAAAAAAAATTTCCTCTTTTGAACTAATTAGAAAAACTTAAACTTACTGTTAAAATGACCACACATGGTAATTTCTTCATCATCACCTCGAACACAGTCTATGGTTCCATCACAAACTTTACCAGCATTTATACATGCACTGCCCAGGCATTTAAACTCACCACTAGAACATACTAAAAAAAAATAATACAACATTGAAAGGTTTGATAAAATTTATATATCGTTGCATGAGATTTATAGGGTTCTAACTGACATTTTCTAATTGACATTTAACCAGACAGTACTTGGCCTCAAATCTGAATGTAAAAAAGATGTATCAGCTCTATATCGATTTATTGTATATATATAATAGAATTGAGCAAGAAATAAGACAAGTTAAAGAGTCCTACTTTAGATACATATTTAACTCTCACTTTAACTTAAGTTTCCATAAACTAGAAAAAGACAGATGTGATGTTTGTGAAGCCTTTAAAGTAGTAAAAAAAATAATCAACTTGAGAAAAGCATAGAAGAAATATATCAAGTCAATAGACAAAGTCAATAGACTAAAGATAGCAGTGCACCAAGAAAAAACATGTGACCATAACAATCAGCTGGATGATGTAGTAGTCATTAGTAAAAAAAAAAAAAAATTACAATCTGGCATTTTACAGTTAAACATATCTAAAAAGTTGAGAAGTACTCTGCTGTGTGGCCAGAAGTAACTTTAGGAAGAACGGGCCTTGCACTTGAACTTGTAAAATTGTAAAAGAAATGATCTTGCAATTGGACTTGTAAAATTTTTAATGGTTGCAGAAAAATTTTATACATTACATTACTTGGAGTGATAGCAGTGTACTTTAAAACCGCAACACAATTATAACAACTGATATGTTGGTTTTCTGACTCCACACTGGTCAGTTGAAGATATTACAACAAAGTACAGTGTACCAGGACATTCAGCAGTTCAAGAAGTTGATAACATGCATAGTTAAGTAAAAAAAATACTGCAGCCGTCTGAATTTTACTTATCAATTTCATTAATGAAACTTTTGCTTACAGTAAACAGAAAAAGCCATTAAAATTTATTAATTATCTTTCCCGCAAGATTTTAAAGATTTTCAAAAAGTTGCAAGCAAACTTTTATTTAAGAATATACCATTTTCTAAAATAACATCACTCCAAAGTAAATAAAGTTTCTTATGCAAATAAAGTATTTCATGCAGCTAATATAAAGCCAAAAGAAAAATATAGCAGAAAAAATTACAAGGATATAAAAAAGAATATCATGTTTACTTTGCCTAAGCCAAATATTTTTTTTTAAAGTACAATTAAAGTACCATAATAGAAAAAAATTAGAATTATCTGAAAGAGAACCTAAAATTTATGCCTTTGCAAGATAAAGAATATTATAAAAAAGTTATCAAAATTTAATGTTTGAAACATAAAGACAAATATTTTTATTTCAGATATTTTTTTCTTATTTTTACTCATTATTATAAAAATAGTTAAAGAAGTGTTTTTTTTTTTATTGTTGTGAAATAAAGACAATATTTAGTTCTGTGTTTATAGTTTTAAACATTATAATATAAATTTAAAATCATAAGAAGTTTCTTTTAAAAAACACCTTTTCTTATATTTTTATATATAATAAATAAAGCAAAAACAATATACAAACAAGGTAAAATAAAGTACAAATAAGGGATATAGGTACAAGTAAACAAAAAAAAAAAAAAAAAAAAAAAAAAAAAAAATGAAAAAATATTAGAATCTAGAATCATATTCATCCCCTTCCCACCCCTCTTAAAAACAGCACTTTACCACCCTAAATTTTTCTTTTGCTTTATTTATTTTTTCAAATTAGTTCTATATCCCGCAAATATTTCTTATAGAACCTTTTAATTCCAACAAAAAAACCTAATTGCGAAAAGTTCCAACTAAAACCAAAATCTTCGAGAAAAGTTTTGTTTTTATTAAAAAATATTCAACCAAACTTCTTTGAAACTTATTTATATCATTATAAATAATAAACATTCATTATTTATATCATTTTAAATAATAAATATCCATTATGGCAAAATATTGTTAAGAATTTTCTTATAGTTTTCATGGGAAGAGTAGACAAAACTTTAAAGTCGACTTTCTTAAAACCGGGAACACAGCATTTAGAACCCTATAATTCTTACAATATTATATCTTTATTTATTTTTGTCTATTTATATCTAGAATAAAATTACTAACAGCAGTCATCTTCAAAACATTCTATGTTAATACATTGCAAAATGCTTGTCACACATAAGTTATTACACATAAATGGACAGTTAACTTCATTTTGAGCTAAAAAACAAAATAAAATCTTGAAAGCATTTTATTAATAATAAAAAAAAAAAATGTTAACTAATAGTTTGTAGTATTATAACATTTATAAAATATATATTTCTAAATAAATAAATAATCGAAATCCCTTTAATTTTAAACTTGTAAAATAAACATGTAGTAATTTTATGGATAAAAAATACTTACGTTTACAATTCTTTTCTGTTTTCATTTTATTATTTACCAGAGTAAAGTTAAGAGGACACAAACATTCTGCATAATGTTCCCCATTTTTTCTTCTTGCTGGAAAACAAATATGGCTGCAGCCACCATTATGTACTGCACAAGGATTCTTTTCTACACAATCAAAAAAATAATTTGTTTTAAATATTAAAAAATGCAAAAAATTTTAATTTTACTTCAGTAACATTTTATTATTTAGAACACATTTATACATACATAAAATATACATACATACATACATACATACATACATACATACATACATACATACATACATACTGCATGTATGTATGTATGTATGTATGTATGTATGTATGTATGTATGTATGTATGTATGTATGTATGTATGTATGTATGTATGTATGTATGTATGTATGTATGTATGTATGTATGTATGTATGTATGTATGTATTTATGTATGTATGTATGTATGTATGTATGTATGTATGTATGTATGTATGTATGTATGTATGTATGTATGTATGTATGTATGTATGTATGTATATATGTATGTATTTTGTATGTATGTATGTATTGTATATATTGTATTGTATTGTATGTATGTATGTATTGTATGTATTGTATGTATTGTATGTATTGTATGTATTGTATGTATTGTATGTATTGTATTGTATGTATGTATGTATTACATAAAGGTATGTATAGATTTGTACATATACATGTGTTTGTGTGGTCATTAATATACACATACATAGACAGCTTGCAAAATTCAAAGTACAAGAAACAGATCGACACAAGAGTATTGTACTTAGCTGACCGGTCGGCAAAAAATTTATTTGGATTTTTTGCTTTCTGTTAAGAAAGGGGTAATGATTAATTGATTATAAAAGCATTGTTTTACAAAAGCATAGCTTTAGACAATATTTTAAAGAATGTAGCATTTAAACTTTATGTATACAGCAAAATCATGAATTAGTAATTTTTTAGTTTCAAAGTTGTTTTTTAATTTAAAAAAAAATCATAGTTTTTCATTTTTATTGGTTTTTTAAATTGACAATAGAAAGAACATTGTCTATAAATACAAACTTTTATTTGCTGTAAGCAGAGACTTTTGTAACAGCAAATTGTTTCAAAAAATGGGTAGACAGTTTACACCCATTTACAGTTTAAATCTGGTTGTTCTATTCTCTATGGTTGTTCTAACCTCAATGGTTGTTCTAACCTCTATGGTTGTTCTAACCTCTCTATGGTTGTTCTAACCTCTCTATGGTTGTTCTAACCTCTCTATGGTTGTTCTAACCTCTCTATGGGGAATAAGATTTTACATCTACTGTAGTTGGTTTCCGTTTTTTAATAAAAAAACATTGAAATTGTAGAATAGTATAAAAATGTAACTTTATTTAAATAAATGATCTGACTCTTTCAAAACAAAAAGAGAAAAATTTAAAAATCTCAAAAAAATAAAAATAAAAAATAAATAAAAAAAAAATTGTTTTTTCTTTAATTGTTAGTATCATGAATTTTTCTTTAGATTTTCTTAAGACAGCTGCCACATACGTATGAGAACATAAAATACCGTCTGAAAGGTTGTTCTTTAATGACTGATATTCAGCTTACCAATGTTACTGATGCTAATTTAGTGTATAAATGATATTAGTAGTTTGTTGCTAATTTAGTGTATAAATTATAAGTTTAATTTAGTTACCAAAAAAAATATTATCGGAAACATTTAGGTCAAATTAAAGTTACTTCATCTGAATCATTTGTTTGAAAGCTGCAGGATTTAAAAACCCTTTTTTAAATAACAGCTTTGTTAAATATTATGACTTGTTTAGAGTTTGCTTTGTGTAACACTGTCATGTTACTTATTTTGAATGGATTTAATGGGTTTTCGTACATTGGGTTTCGTAATGCCTAAATAATTTCTATGCTTCTTTAACTCACAATGGCAGTTAATTTGTTATGGTCTTGTAAGTGGTGCAGGAAAGGACAGAAAGGTTACAATCAAAAGCCTAAGTGGTTAGCAAGAGTCATTTCGATTAAAATTTTACATACAAATGAAATTTATATCCTTGAGACCCTGGAATCAATTGTTCTGGATAAAAATGAAAAACATCAGACCAAATTTAAACTAGTACACTTTGATAGAAAATTAAAACTATGGATGTTGCTTTGATGAAAGAGCACAGAATCATGTTAATATTTGACGCTTCTTATGATATCTAAATTTAAGATAAAAATTTAGCTCTTTACGTGCAATTGTTTTGATCTTGACGTGCAATTGTTTTGATCTTTACGTGCAACTGTTTTGATTTAGCTCTTTACATGCAATTGTTTTAATCTGTTTTTAAATATGTGGCATCAGTTCGTGAAGATTTTATTAATATTCAAGAATGTGTTGAAAGGTTCTTAAGCATTATTTCTAAGCAGTAAAAGCATGAAAATACAAGAAAGAGAATGCATAGAGTAGGAGTTAGTAAGAATAGGGAGAAAAAAGTAGGAATTAGTGAAAATAGACAGAATAAAGTAGGAATTAGTGAGAATAGGGAGAATAAGGTAGGAATTAGTGAGAATAGAGAGAATAAAGTAGGAGTTAGTGAGAATAGGGAGATTAAAGTAGTACTTAGTGAGAATAGAGAGAATAAAGTAGGAGTTAGTGAGAATAGGGAGAATAAAGTAGGAGTTAATGAGAATAGGGAGGAACTAGTGAGAATAGAGAGAATAAAATAGGAGTTAGTGAGAATAGGGAGAATAAAGTAGGAGTTAGTGAGAATAGAGAGAATAAAGTAGGAGTTAGTGAGAATAGGGAGAATAAAGTAGGAGTTAGTGAGAATAGGGAGGAACTAGTGAGAATAGAGAGAATAAAATAGGAGTTAGTGAGAATAGAGAGAATAAAGTAGGAGTTAGTAAGAATAGGAAGAATAAAGTGGTTCTAGATGGCAGTCGTGAATTTCAAATTTAAAAAATTTTTCCCTATATTTTCACATAGACAAGTTTTCTTTCAAGAAAAGGGCCCCCAAATATAAATTTTTTGCACCCAACCCCCCTAAGACCCTAAATCAGGCATAAGGAATATCGCTTAAATTTACATAGATTATCCAGGTCATATTTTAAAAATCAGGAAAACTGTTTGGGTAAAATATAAATAAAATATTTTCCTCTATATTTTACTTTTAACTGAGTTGTTTCTAATATATTTTTTTCAATATTATCTTTATTTATTCTATGAGTGATGAGTGAAAAAGCTTAAAAAATAAATATATCACAAAAATTATACCTAAACTTGTATGTATAGAAATTGTTCTGGATATCCGGAAAAACTGAAAAAATATCCGGAATTCTGGAAATATCAGAATTCCGGATATATCAGAAAATGATAATCTGTAGTCTAAGTATAACTTAGAAAATAATAAACTGACTAAAACATATTATTAAACAAATTATTTTCAGAAGGTCTTTTGATAACCCCTGGTAAGTTGTCAGGCGACCACTGTTGGGGTTGCAACCCACAGTTTGGGAACAGCTGCGTTAACCCTTTAACAGTCCCGTGTTGTTTTTAAAATAAGGTCGCTATTAGTCCGGCTTTTTTTTTTTGAAGTGGTCTCTAAATGTCCTGTGTTTTTTCAAAACATTGCGTTTTTCAAACAAAAATTTAAAAAAAGTTTTTATTATTTTTAACACTAATAAACACAATAAAATATAATTATTCAAGTTTAAGAATATACAATCTTACTATATAAACACAAAATATTTTTACTAATATTCACTTCTTGTATGATAATTTGCAAAGCATGGAGCAGCACAAAGTCCTACATCACCATCTACACATTCAAATCTCGAATCTTTTCGAACTTTATTTTTGTGATAAACAACACACTTTCTCTGAGCATTATTCTTTTTTTCAGATGCTGGGACATATGAAAGAAAATATCTGTCAATTAATCGCAAGGGGTTGTTTGCAACCAATCTAGAGTGAGATTTTTTTGGTTGTTGACCATATCTTTGAATCATAGATGTGATTAACAGTATTCTAAAGTTTAAAGGTGTTATGTTATGACCCATTTTATTACAAATTATTTGAGCATTGAAGGCTGCTTGATTAATCAAATGAGTAAACACTTTTTTGTACCATTTCTTCACTCTTTTTCTTTCAACTTCATACGATATCATCATTTGGTCACTTTTATCAACGCCACCCTTATTTTGATTGTAATCATCGATAACTAAAGGAACCTGTTTTTCTTTTCCAGATCTTAAAACATTTTTTAGTCCCATCATTAACACAAATTGAAATGGTATATACATCTTTTTTATCTTTCCAATGTGATACCATTATATTTATTTTTTCTTCGTATAAAACTATTCATTCATTTTTGTTCAACTTTGTTTTAATAGAATTAGGTAAACCTTTTCAGTCCTTGCGAATTGTTCCTATGGTATCTGTAGATCTTAGCAACAAAACTGAGGAAAGCTCATAAGAAGAATACCAGTTGTCAATGTAGAGTTTGTAGCCCTGGTCAAGTAAGCCACCCATAAGAAACATTACAATTTTTGTTCCAACATAGCGATATTCTGAACTTAGAGTATTAGTTAGCTCAGATCCTGTATATAAAACTGATTTCCATACATATCCTGAATCTGACTCACACAATGAAAATGTTTTTATGCCAAATCTGGCACTTTTGCTGCGAATACATTGTTTCCAAAATAGCCGACCTTTCCACAACAAAAGTGATTCATCTACAGATATACTTTGTGTTGGTGTATACACTTATTTGTATTTATTAGTAAGATAATCCCATACTATGCTTATTTTAGATAGAACAGGATGTTTATTTGGTAATGTAGTGAATCAACAAAATGAATAAATTTGTCAATTAACTTGAATTTGTTATAAAATAACAAACATTTAATACCAGCACTTGAAAACAATGGATTTGTTGTATAATAAATTTCATATATGGGCTTCCATAGTACTCCTTGATATAAAAAAATTGCAATATACTGCCAAATCTCTGGAACTGTTACTGGCAACCAGCGCCTTATTCTGGAATTTGCTGATAATTCTTTTTTATTTATAATTTGGGAAGCAAATTGATTGGTCTCATTTACAATAAACTCACAAATTTCATCTGTAAAGTAAAGTTCAAACAAATAAAGAGGATCATTTTTGACTATATTCTGGTTGTACCCAGAAACACCGGTAAATGCAAAAGGTTGAACTCTTCTAACTGGAGGTTCAGATGTCCATTTGGGTATGTATGAAAACTCATTCTCTAAAGAACTTTCGCTAGAACTTAGAGCATTGAGCAATGCAGGCGTTTCATCTTCTAAACCTAACTCTAACAATTCTGGTTCTGAATTTTCACCGTCAAAAACATCAGATAAACTACAATCTTCTTCTGAGACTTCATTCAACTCTTCACTTTCATCAAATATATAACTCTCTACCTCTTTGTGAGTAAATATTTGCTTTTTTGATAATGAATTTTTCTTTGTCAAAACTTCCTTATTCGCTATATTTAAAACAAAAGTAAACACGTATAAAAAACAATTATTAAAACAATTTTAATTACGAAATAATAAATTTTGTGACAAGTAGACATATAATTACTGATAAACAAGAAGTAAATATAAGGATATGCATAAAACTGTAATATTACAGCATGGACATTTGGAAACCACTTTTTGTTTGCGTAATATTACGGCATGGACATTTAGAAAGCACTTTTTATTTGCGTAATATTACGGCATGGACTGTTAACGGGTTAAGAGATTCTGGTTGGCAATTGTATGCCATAGTTAAGCTAAGATAGATCAGCTGAATTTCACAGGCTGCATACATACATAAACAATATTTATTTATTTACAAATATTAATTTATTTACAAATAACAACAGTAAATTTATTGATAACTTTTCATATTTCATATAAAATATTTTTGAGATTTTCTATGAACATAATTTCACAAAATGTTTTTAAACTAATTATACATAACTAATTTATACATTAATTATACAAAATTAATAATTTATACATTAATTATACAAAATTAATAATTTATGTAAGAATTTACTGTACAACTTTTTTATAATAACAGATTTCAAAAAATATATGTACATAATTTAAAGTTATTTTGTAATACTAACCTTTCCACCTGAAAACATCTACAATAAGCAAATCATTGACTTTTTTATAACTTCTTTGCAGTACTTTAATCTCCTTGCTTACCTCTGTATCCAACAGAGCTCTTTTTAACTTAGTATCATGTTGATTTGTATCTTGATCAAGCCAATAAAGATATTTATCAAAAACACTAATTGCAACTGGTGAAAACTTTTCACTGTTAAACTTGAATTGAGTACGAAGACTTTGTCCTAAGTAATTTAAAATAATTCTTTTTAAAAAGCCAAAAGAATTACATACTAGCAACAACTTTTACGCAATAAGAAACTGAATCAGTCAATATTTATATCAATTAAAAGAATAGTGTAACATTTTATATTTATGTTAAACAGGTGGGGGCTTAGGGGGAGACATTTAAAGCCTTTAATTTTTTTTTATGAGCTCCTAAACTAAATATATTTAGAACAATTTCCAAAATTATATAAAAATTAAATACTTGTGATCATTAATAAATATAAAAATGCCACATACAAAAGACAACAGTGATGATTAGTGATGACCACAAATCATCACAACAGTGAACTGAAAACAACAAATAAAAAATTACTCTGTTTACAAATATTATTGTTTATGATGTAATTTTATAACACTTCTATTTGCACATCTTTTTCCTTTGTTTTGAATATTATTTCCATATTTTTTCCTAATCACTTTTTAATGTTAAGAGTTACAAGAAAAGAAGTAAGTTAGAAAAAAAAAGAAAACAGCTGAAAGAAGATTTATAAAACTGTAAATTGTATTGAAGTAGAAGGAACGCTTACTGTAAAAAGGATGCAACTATGCTGAATGATGAGCTACGCAGGACTGTATTTTAGTTAATGCAATAAGAGGTGATAGCTCATTTAAGCAGCATCTATTTAAGCAGCAGTAATTGTGAAAAAGACAAAGAGATGTAACTTTAAAATTTTGATTGTAATATTACATCTCTTTGTTTTTTCTTTAAAGGGATCCCAAACTCCTGACACATGTTGTGTTCATATTAAAGATAATGTTTAAAAAAAAAGGTTTGAACCAAGTTTTTTTTGATTAAAAATAAATAATGAATGCATACCGAGAAAAACTAATGTTGTTGTTTTAGCCTAAGCTCGCCTTCTCCATTTTTTTTCAATAACTTGGAGTCTTTAAATTATAGGTCGCAATCTATAGACTTTGGCGATTCCTTTCAAGCGCATTTAATTCATAAAAGTTTTAGTATTTGACATCACGGTAGACTTTTTAACAAATGAAACTCTGGAAATATTTTTATTTAAACTTTTTTTGATTATTTGTTTGGTTTTTTTTTTTCTTCTATTTTTAACATTTAAAAAGATATTAAAAACCTCAAATATTTTATGCTGGTTCGTTGCTATAAATTGTTATTGTGCCATATATTTAATGTTTATAAATTATATCTATTATCTCAATCAAGACTCTGAATATGAATATCTATTATCTCAATCAAGTCTCTGATAAAAAAATTGTTTTACATTAATTACCCTTATAAAATTAGTAAAAGCATTTTCAATTGGTTAGATAATATTTCGTCTCAATTTGCTTTGCATGAAGTTCGCAAAAAAAATAAGTTTGAATAATCACTTTGAAATATATTCAAAACAAATTATTTTAATGACGGGAGTTTAAAAGTTTTTTATAAGAAATGTAGGTAAAAAATAAATAATTAAATAAAAAGTTTAACATTAAACATCACTTCTTTATTATATTGCAACTGTAAATATTGAAATATAAACTTGAACTAAAATTACTTATTATTTAGAACGACTAAACAATAAAAATAAAAAGCCCCTAAAATTATGCGATATTGTGTTGTTTATTTGATTATTGCTGTTGGTAATGTTGTTTATGTTGATTATTTTCACTAATATCAAAATAGTCCCAGATTAATCTGTTAGTTGCTTTGTTCATTGTTGCTTTATTTCTAATTTAATTTTATCTCTAAGTATAAATTTATGTTAAGAAAGAAAAGTTTTTATTTCATTGCTCTTTTTATAAAAGAGTAGAACAAAAGAGAAAGAAAAGTTTCGCATAATTAAACTTCGGATGAATAAGAGTTGTATAGAATATTTTTTTTTTTTTTTTTTTTTGCGTCACTCGTTCTTTTTTTAGATGAGAGAAATATGATTTTTTAGATGAGAGAAAATTGCTTGAAAATTTGTATTTGTTGTGTTTTAAAATTTTTAAAATTTTTTATGTTAAGAGACAAATGCCAAATACAATACAAATTGGGAAATACCAAATATAATTTGTTTTTTAACGCGCTTTATGACATTTTGACAATTTAAATGACCATTTATCTTGAATTATTGCCATTAATTAATGTGTTAATTATTGCGTTATATAATAATCGTTTGTCTGTATATAATAATCAAATGTCTGTATTGTTAAATTATGTAATAATCGTTTGTCCGTATTGTTAAATATTAGTTGTATAAAACGGGTGAAAATATACAAACTTCATGTTTTTTATTTGATGGTTATAAAATATTGAACAGTAAACTTATAATCAAAATTTATAACGCTGACTTGTGGTGCTATTAATTGTACTTTTAATGCAAAACCAGGATCTCACATATCCTTCCACGAATTTTCATATCTGATACTACTGTCAACTGTATTGTTTAGTGTACTTCTTGTACTTTTTTTCATAACCTTAACAGGTTCTAATTGCTATGGAGTTGCCGACATTTTAAAAGTTTCATTATCAAAATTCAAATGTAAAATAAAATGATATTTCCTTTTTATTCGTATCCAACTTAGCAAATTTAGCAATTTAAATTAAATCAGTGTAATCAAAAAAATTTTATAATAAAAAAATTTAACAGTTCATTATATATTCCTAAATAATAGTTAATGAAAGTAATTGATAATAAATACTTTTTTTCGACGGGAAAACAATAAAAATAACCAGAGAAGTTAGAAAAAAGTTCCCATTGTTTAAATAAAAATAAGTAAGATTCAGAATATATAATACTGGCTCTCTTGCACAAAAACGAGAGACCGTATACATAACGTTCTATATAATGTAAAACACTCATATGAAAATCATAAGATTTGTAAGTAAAGCTTTAATATTTGTTTTAATTTAAAAACAAAAGAATATATAAGATATATAAATCTAAAAATTATTAAGATATTAATAAAAAAAATCCTCTTATGAAATAAAAAGATTTTATTATTTTTTATTTTTATAAAAATTTGTTGTAAAAGTTGTTTTGCTATATGTTAATTTTTTTTTTTTTTTTTTTTGAATTAAAATAAAAAAACGCAGCTTTGTTTAATTACACTTTTCTTTTGTTAAAAATCTACCGTGACGTCAAACGCTAAAACTTTTATGAATTAAACGCGCTTCAAAGGAATCGCCAAAGTCTGTAGATTGCGACGTATAATTTAAAGACTCTGAGTTATTGAAAAAAATGGAGAAGGCAAGCTTCGGCTAAAACAACAACATTAGTTTTTCTCGGTATGCATTCATTATTTATTTTTAATCAAAAAAACTTGGTTCAAACCTTTTTTTTTAACATTATCTTTAATATGAACACAACATGTGTTGGGAGTTTGGGATCCCTTTAATTATCTGTTGTTTATGCTGCATTTACCTCTAAACACAGCCTAAATAACAGATAAACAACTTTTCTTTTTTGAAATTTAACTAGAGAAGACTATGCTCAGCATTGTAGATTGGTACAATGTATTAAAATGGTGCATTGTTCAATGTATTTATTGAATAACTTTTAAATTTTTTTTTAATGTTATTCACCTCCCCAAGGTCAAGAAAGCCACTACAGTCAGAAAGGCTATTTTATTGCGGTAACTTTCTCCTCTTCTCAACTCTGAAACCTAGAAGGTCTTGTGGTGAATGAAAAATGCTTAATGCACTCCTCTAATTGAATTTTTGATGTAAAGTTCTTTTTATTTTCTTTTCATATATATTGACATTATCTTTTTTTAATAACAACAATTTATTAAATTACCAAGCAAAAATAATTTAATTGAATAACTCAAAACAATGTAGAAATACTATAATGTAATGATGCAATCGAATGTTTATTTTGCTTCTAATTTTTCAAAATTTAAAACATTTTATTTATTTGTTCAATATTTGACACAAACGTTTTTTCTAAATTAATAAAAATATGTTTGATCTTGCAAATAAAAGTTAATTTGTCTTTTTAAAAAGTCAGTAAGTAAACATTTTAAATAATGCAAGAATAAAAAGTGTGCAATAGTTTATTTTTTTACCAGTCATTTTATATAAAATTTATTAAATATTTTTTCACAAAATGGTAAAACTGCCTATCTCCAATTTACTCTCATATAATACCAAATTACTCTCATATAAACTGCCGATCTCCAATTTACTCTCAATAAATATTTTGCAAACAAAAAATGATATCTATTCACAATACTATCAAAGAATAAACTAATTTTGAAGCGGAATCACACACAGAACAGAAATATGCAAATTTTAGTTACTAGACACAAGTCTTCCTAGGAGACAGTGCAATTTTTTTGTCTCGTTTGTCCACAAAAAAGTTTTTTATTTAGACAACTTGGTCACAGCCGTTTGCATGTTTTATTATATTAGACGTTTCAAAACCAAGAAAGCAAAAATAACAAAATTGGAAATCAAAATAAATTTAAATAAAAAAAATAAAAAATTGATAATTTAAATAATTTGTGTACTGCTTTTATTTTCGCTTCTTTTGGATGGTTCTTATTTTCAGCAATGATATTGGATAAGGCAAAGCAAAAGAAAAAAAAAAACAGACACTAAAAAGACTATTTTTATTTGTTTTTTTTTTAATCTATTTGTAAAATATATTTGTATAATTTTAATGTAACAGGTATATATTGTCCATATATGAACACATCTATATAGTGCATGGGCATATGTTTACATGTTGTTTTGTTTATGTATGCATATATATGTATCTACCTCATACAAATTATGTATAAATGTAGATGAGAGAAAGATGAAGAATGTAGAAAGATGTATAAAGTATAATTGTTAATTATATTTAGATATAGAAAGTAAAGCTTTACTTTCTAGATCACTTTTTCAATTATATAATTATATTTATTTTTTCATTAGTATAGGCACATTTATCTTTTTTGGATAAGACGTTTACATCATACATACAATGGCTGTGGTTCAAATCCCACCACTATCTAATTTTTAATTGTTTTTCTTACCCCGCTGCTCATATAATTTCTAATTGTTTTTTCTAACCCCGCTGCTCATATAATTGCTTTGAAATTCTACCTGCTGATTTTTTGAATCCTGCTGCTCATATTTGTTATTAAAAAAAGCACACACATATACATATTTTTTAACCTTCAAATATGCCATGCCGTCTACAGAATTTTAAAATAGATTTAATTGTTTCATAATAGCTTACTATTTCTGTACATTTTTATCTCCAAATTTTAGCGCTTTATAATTTTGGATAGCTGTTGCTTTTTAACATTCTGCTCACTGTGCTTAGTTCTACTAGCCCCCTTTATTTTTGGTCTACTATGTTATTGGTGAAATAAACATAAACATTTATTAATAATAAATCTTTGCTTGAATTTTATGCTTATATATTGGACATCTGTCCAAAACCTTTTAATAGTTTTTATCTAACTACGGCTGTATGTGTTCCACTAAAGTAACTAGTTTTCAAGTTCGGGTGCGAATGGTACCTAACTAGTATATATATATATATATATATATATATATATATATATATATATATATATATATATATATATATATATATATATATATATATATATATATATATATATATATATATATATATATATATGTAATGGTACCTAACTAGTATATATATATATATATATATATATATATATATATATATATATATATATATATATATATATATATATATATATAAACAATTTTTAAAAAAATGTATTCTACAAAATAGAGTGCTCAATGTTCTTAAAAGAACAGAGCAATTATAAATTAGTAGAAAATCACTTGACAAAATTTTTTTTTATTTGACACTGTGTTTCATCAACAAAGCATTTCTGATGAGTCTTTGTTGATGAAACACAGTGTAAAATGAAAAAAATTGTTGTTAAGTGATTTTCTACTAATTTATATATATATATATATATATATATATATATATATATATATATATATATATATATATATATATATATATATATATATATATATATATATATATATATATATATATATATATATATATGTGTGTGTGTATATATATATATATATATATATATATTAAAATAATATTTTAAACATTAAGAATTTCCAGAAGGTTACAGGACTGCACTACTTATTATAGAGTCACAGCAATAGTTTAAATGCACTTCATGAATGATCACATTAGAAAGTCAAACACAGAAGTTGAAAATTTGTCAATTTCAAGTAGTTATTTTTATGAAAATAAATTGCTTGTGAGTGTTTTAAGTAAAATATTGTATTCCTAAAGCTAATACTTAATATATTTTCGATGAGAAATGACAGTCATTAAATATTTCTAGCTAAAGTATAGCATTTTAAAAACTACTGCATATTTTTCAAAAATATATATATTTAACTTATTTAGGTAGCCTAAAATAAGTTAAAAATATTTTTGTTATAATTGTTCTTTAAGAAAATCATAATAGTATGCAATATTGCTAAATTAGTTAAAAGTAATGTTTTTAACTGCTGGTTGTCGCTGTATTTCGGATACCTAAACAAATCTTTTAAAACTAACATATTTTAATTTAATACTCACATGCTTGCTACCTTATATTACCTTTTTTAAACTTTCTTTATGTAACGCTCATTTATGCCATAATAAAATAATTGACAAGTTTTCCTTCATTTGCTTAATATTTCGATTAAAAAAAGTTTTATAAAAATTTAAACTCAATTTTTTTATTTCATCTAAATTTATTATTTGTTATAATACTTGCTATTAATTGTTAAATTACATATTAATGAGAATATTTTATGTATTAAAGTTATGTATTACTTCAAAATATTTGTAACGGTTTGCTTTAATGTTTTAAAAACATTAACATTTCATGTAATTATTAAAACCTTAAATACTTCATTAAAATAGCATTAAAATGAACATTTATTTCATTAAAATATTCCATAAAATATCTTTAGAGTCATTAAAATATTACCAAAAAAATGTTTTTAGCCTAATGTAAATAGCGTAGCCATATGTAAAGTTACTCTTGGCATATATAAAATGCCAAACACTATAGGATAAGGTCTACATATGTATTTAAAAATATCCAATAATTAAAGGCAAATTTTTTTCATTCCATAAAAAAATGCCTTTTAACGGTAACAATAAATGACTCTATTATCATCAATTATAAATAAATCATTATATCTATCCAATGCATTTACATAGTATTTATTTATTAACAATTTATCAAAAAAAAAGTTTAAAATTTCATAATTTTTTGTTTCCCAATTCTAAATAGACCCCTCTTCTTTCCCACAGTTTCAAAATATTGTATTCGATAATTTATAAAATTGATTTGTTTTGTATACTTTTGTTGTAATAACAAAATAATAAATCCTAGATTAATAAATATTATTTTAGTCAATTTAAACATAAGAACCTTTTATGTTAATGCTTTGAACTGTTGCTTTATTTTTATCCAACCAATATACACGATTTTCTTTGTGATCAACAGCAACATCATAACGTGGCAATCCATCAGAAATATCTCCAATTTTTTGAAGTTCTATTAAGTTTGAACCATCATAACGAATAGATAAAAGTAAATAATGACCAAATTGTTTTTGTTGACTTATAAAAAACAGCAAACTAAAAAATAAATATTAAACTAGGTATTTTTGTAAATAAAAAGAAAAAAAGAAATGTAAATAATGCTATAAATGTTAAGAAATGCTACTAATGTAACAAAGTATATTATACATCCAAAAAACTTCAATTAAATTATAATACTAACCCTTTTTCGGGCAAAATAGCCAAGTTCAAAGGATCAAAACCATTTTTATTGAAAACTGTTCCATAGTTTAAAGAGTTGTTAAGATCAATATATGAAATAATATTATTTTTACCATCAATCCAGTAAAGACAATTTGAAAATAAATCAATAACAAAAGATATAGGAAACGCATTTTCAACTTGCAAATTAACTTTCTTTTTGACACCATTCTGTGAAAAAAAGATCTGATGTTTCATTTCATCCAACCAATATAATGTTTGAGAGTTTACATTATATTCAATCGAAGATATATAAGTTGGAAAATTAAAATAAATAGGAACTTCAGTCATTTTCGAAAAAACCACACGATAAACTAAAGTTTCTTCACTGATGAGAATAAATGTTTGAGGGCCTAAAAAAATATATACATTTACAACAATAAGGACATGAAACATATGATTAAAAAAAAATCTATATATAAAACAAAGTATAAAATTTTATCCTATAAAATATTTTAAAACTATTTATCAATATTATAAATTACTATAATAAGTAAAAACTGAATTTAATAATAATTAAAAAAAATATTTTAATAATGATCTTTTAATTTTTTTTTTTTTTTTTTTCGAATATATATATATATATATATATATATATATATATATATATATATATATATATATATATATATATATATATATATATATATATATATATATATATATATATATATAGGCTTGGCCAGGAAGGCGTGTGATTTCACATCATAATATGACCACACAAATACTATTTGATTTTAGAACTTGACCACGGCTGTTAATATGTTTTGAAAATGTGTATACATTTTAATAACGCGCAGAAAAAGTTAAAAATCTTAACTATGAAGAAACTTAAAAACTTATCGTAATGAAGCAAATAAATCTTCGCAAAAAAAATTACGAAAGATAAAATAAAAATAACTTAACTAAAACTAAACTAAAAAAAAATAAAAATTATAACTTAGCTAAAATAAATAATAAACTATAACGGTAAGATTGTTTAGAATAAATAACTTTAAATCGTTTATCTTTACTAACTTTTTTTTATATAATATTATGCGAAACCCATTTTAAATAAAGTAACAACTTATATCTAACAATTGTAAAATAAATGTGCACATTAAAAGTTAGAAAAAGATGCTTAACAATTCTTCATAGTAATGTTAACATAAAAAAAAAAAAAAAATTGAATCGTTTATTTAAAAAGTTGATAAATTTTTTGTAAATAAAAAATATAAATAAAACTTTATACAACTTTCAATTATACTTAATTAAAATCATTAGTTATTTTCTTTAAAAGTGTTTTGCTAATATAAAAATGCTCATAAAGATAAACATGTCAAAGTTATTTATTTTTAACATAATTACAGTAATTATTATTAAACCAATTTTTTCGACGCATTTGTTAAAAATCGTGGTTAATTGTCAAAACAAAATATTAGTTTTCTTTATATAAAATGATTATTATTTTTGAAATTTTTATAAAACTTTGCTTCTTTTGAGACCCAACATGATATGCTTTTAAAGAACTTTTATTTTTCAAAATATTAGGGACCCGTCTGATGATTAAGAGTCTTGTGCGGGATCTAAAAATTGTTCTAAATTCAAAATTTTTGGTATTTAGCATTTTTAGAATAAATGTTATCACTGGTAAAAACCACGATTAAAATTTCAAAAAAAAGTTTGGACGGCCCTAGTGGTTATATAAATATTTGAAATCACAATTTCTTCCTGGTTAGGCCTCTCTCCCCCCTCTCTCTCTCTCCTCTCTCTCTCTCTCTAATTAAATAATTATTAAATTTTATTTTAACTAATTAACTAGTTTATATAATTAAACTTGATATTTTTTAATTTTGTTTGCTTTTTTAAAGATCATTCTTTTTTTCTAAGATGATAGGTTAAGCTTTTTGCCGCAAATAATTGAAACACTTTATAAAAAGTAAAAAGATGCAAACTAACATGTCAGTTAGTCTAAAAAAATTAATTTAAATGTGGACGAACAAGGCGTGAGACCGCACGCGCTTCCAGGGAAGGCTACATACATGTATACATATATGTTGCCTTCCAGGGAAAGATACTTACATGTATACATATATGAATGCAATTGAAAGCCATGGGGGCTTCAACACATACATTAACTGATTAAAAAGGGAGAACATGCAAGGAATGCTGCTATATCAAATAAAGGTTTGTGTTGAGGCAGCAATCATTTTTTTATCTTTTACTAAAAAATTAAAGCACGCATTTTATCTTCTATAGAGTATATAGACCAGCAATGGATTACTCTTTTTGTTTAACCTTATAGCATACAGATTTTCTAAAAAAAAGAATAATAATGAAAGGAAAAAATGCTGCCCCAGCCCAAATATATATATATATATATATATATATATATATATATATATATATATATATATATATATATATATATATATATATATATATATATATATATATATATATATCTTCTATAGAGTATATAGACCAGCAATGGATTACTCTTTTTGCTTAACCTTATAGCATACAAAATTATTATTCTTTCATTATTATTCTTTTTCTAAAAAAAGAATAATAATGAAAGGAAAAATTGCTGCCCCAGCCCAAATATATATATATATATATATATATATATATATATATATATATATATATATATATATATATATATATATATATATATATATATATATATATATATATATATATATATATATCTTCCCATGATTGCACTCTCTTAGATGTTATCTCTGATCAAATTGACTATGCCCTCTCTCTTTACCCCTCTGCCAATATTGTTGTTGTTGGTGATTTTAATGCCCATCACACTGAATGGCTTGGCTCTAACACCACTGATCCTGCTGGCACTAAAGCCTTTAACTTCTGCGTTTCTCAATCTCTTACTCAGATAGGTAACTTTGTGACTCGTTTTCCTGACAACCCTAATCATTTACATTCACTCCTTGACTTATGTCTTGTTTCTGACCCTAGCTTATGTTCAGTTTCTCCCTTTTCTCCCTTAGGTGGTTCTGACCATGCAATGATCTCTATAAATCTTTCTTCTCGTACTTCTTTTTTGGGCTCACCTTATCATCGCACCACCTACTACTACCCTAAAGCTGACTGGGATTCCTTTCATGATTTTCTTCGTGATGGTCCTTGGGCTGATGTTTTTTCTCTCTCAGCTGACAAATGCGCCTCCTACATAACCTCCTGGATTCAGGCTGTAATGGAAGCTTTTATTCCTTCGCGTCGGTTTCAAGTCAAGCCTCATTCTACTCCATGGTTTTCTCCTTCTTGTGCAGCTGCTATATCCAATCGTAATCATTTTTTTCATCTTTTTCAAAAGAACAACTCTCTTGAGAACAAACGGCTATTTATTATTGCAAGAAATCGATGTAAAAAGGTGCTTTCTGATGCTAAACTCCATTATTCTCAGTTCACTAAATCTCGCATCTTATCACAGAAGTTAGGCTCTAAAGACTTTTGGAAAATCTTTAACAGCATTATTAACAAGGGTAGATCTAACATTCCATCTCCCATTCATGGGACTGATCTTATTACCTCTCCCAAGGATAAGGCAGAACTATTTGCAAAGAACTTTTCTTCTAATTCCACTCTTGAATCTTATGGACATTCTCTTCCTTCCATTCCAGTCAAACAGGTTGACCCATTGTTAGACATTCAAATCACTCCGGCTTCTGTTGCTAAAGTCATATCTCAATTAAACTCGTCTACAGCTTGTGGTCCAGACAACATTCCTGTCACAGTCTTGCAGAAATGTTCTCCAGAACTTTCTTCAATTCTCTCTAAACTATTTAACAAGTGTTTGACTAAGTCTTGTTTTCCTGCTTGTTGGAAAATGGCATCTGTGGTTCCAATATTCAAAAACTCTGGAGAAAATTCTGACCCCTCCAATTATCGTCCGATCAGTCTTCTTTCTGTTATTAGCAAGGTCTTTGAGTCTTTGATCAACAAATTCCTCACATCTCATCTTGAGTCAAATAAACTACTGTCAGACAACCAATACGGTTTTCGATCCTCTCGCTCTTCGGCCGACTTGTTAACTGCTATAACTGAAAGATTTTATCGTGCATTAGATGGAGGCAGTGAGGCTAGGGCTATTGCTCTCGACATATCTAAAGCTTTCGACAAAGTTTGGCATGCTGGTCTTCTCCATAAGCTTGCTTCATATGGTATTTCTGGGAAAGTTTTTGAGATTATCAAATCATTTCTTTCTAACCGATTTATTAAAGTCATCCTTGAAGGCCAACACTCTTCTTTATTTCCAGTAACCTCTGGGGTTCCCCAAGGTTCCATCCTGGGCCCTGTTTTGTTTTTTTATCTACATAAACAATCTTCCTGACAACCTTTCATCTAAAGTAGCTCTTTTTGCTGATGACTCAACTTTATACTCCTGTCTTGACAAAAAGTCTTCTCTTTTCGATCGCCTAGAACAAGCAGCTGATCTTGAATCCGATCTCACTTCAATAATAGATTGGGGTTCACAGTGGCTTGTGAATTTCAACTCTAAAAAAACCCAATTGCTTACTGCAAACAACTACCGTAATATGGTCAACATTCCTATATTAATGAATGGCAATCCTCTTACTGAGTCCTCCTCTTTACGTCTTCTTGGATTATCGCTTACTACTGACCTTTCATGGAAACCATATATACAATCGATTGCTAAATTAGCTTCTGCTAAGGTTGCTTCTCTTTATCGTGCTCGCCATTTTCTTACTTCTGATTCCATTCTCTACCTCTACAAATCTCTTATTCGTCCCTGTATGGAATACTGTTGTCATATTTGGGCTGGTTCTTCTAACGATTCACTTTCTCTTCTTGACAAGGTCCAAAAACACATTGTAAATGTTGTTGGACCTGGACTATCTGCTAAGCTTGAATCTCTTTCCCATCATCGTAAAGTTGCATCTCTTTCTCTTTTCTACAAATACTATCATGGTCACTGCTCAAAGGAGTTATCATCTCTAGTTCCATTAACTAAAATTCATTCTTGTTTTACTCGTCATTCAGCTAAGTCTCATTCGTTTACTGTATCTGTCCCTGCATGCTCTAAAAACATTTATTCATCTAGTTTTTTTCCCCGCACAAAATGTCAAATATAGCAAAAACTTTTTTATAAGCGAAGATGTTAAAACGAATAAATGTAATAAGCAAAACAAAAAAAATTAACAAAATCTCTTATACTTCCAGCGTACATAGCAAATTAGTTTCTTAATTATATGACTGATAAAAAAGATGTTTATTTCAACAACTCTAAAAAAAAAAATACATAATTTGTATCAAAATTGTAAAAAATACATAATTTGTATCAAAAAAAAAAAAGTTTTTTTTAATTTACTTTTTTTTTTCTCATTAAATTTTTTAGCTTAATATTTAATTTATTTAATAAAATAATAATAAATTGAATGTATTATTAATTAAGCTTGATATTTCTTTACAACTTTGTTTCATTATTTAATAATTTTTTTTTTCCTTAGTAAATAAGTTTAGCTTTTTGCCACAAATTATTAAAACGCTTTGTAAGTTAAAAGATGCCAACTGCCATGGTAAGTTAGTCTAAAAAAATACTTTAAGCGTGGTCGTACAAGGCGTGCAACCGCATGTGTTTTCCGGAAAAGCTTGTATACATATACATATATGCGGGAGTGGTGCAGCGCTTGCTTCATAAGCAAGAAGTTCAGAATTCGATCCCCATTGGTTTAATCTTTTATTATTATTTAACTGCAATCATAAAAGATTTCTACCAATTGGATAATTTAATTTGGTATATTTAAAAACAGATATTTATAAGTATATAAATATCAAGTATAAAATACTTATAAATAAAATCATAAATTTATCTTACCTATACATGAAGTATTATCAATTAAACTAATTGTAAAATCAGTTTCACATTCACATATTCTTTCTGATTGTGATAGTGCAAAACACAGTTGTTCACACCCACCATTATTAAATTCGCAAAGATTGCCACCTATGTACAAAAAAAAAAATTATTCAAAACTATAATAGAGCTTGTAAAAAGATATTTAGTTTATCTTCCAAAAATTTATTATTGAACAGCTAGGCCTTGTTTTAAATTGAAAAAGGCTTAGCACATTAGCTTGTCGTGATTTTGACTTCATAAAATTATCTTTTTTTTAATTTTATTTAAGGACATTAACTTTTGCATTTTTTAACTATTGCAATAAAATAAGTAACCAGAAAACAAGTTTATTTTACTAATTGAGAAAAACAAATCTAGAAGTGTTTTTTTCTTAATGTACATATTGTGAAATGTCTATTTTGTTTAAATTTTTTGTTTTTTTGTTTTTTAATAATAAATAAATTTAATATTACATTTTTTATTATCATTTAACATAAATTAATCTCTTTCTTTTCTCGACATTAGTATAAATTAATTAAAATGTCTTAATATTTTTTTTTATTATTCCTTAAAATTGTGACATTGCAAACTACGATTTTTACTTTTGAAAAGTTATCAAACAAAAATTAATTACTTTACCAGCGCTTTTTTTTGTGACAAACAAAGATTTAAATTTTCAAGTACGATTTATTAAATTGTATACTATTGCGCTTTCACTAAAAAAATTTAATGTACGCTTTATGAATATTTTTGATGCAGTGTTATAAATTATAACATGTTTACAAAAAATTTAATTTTTTGTAAAAAATCCAAAAAAAGGAAGAAAAACCGAGAAAAAAACAAACAAATTTTATTTAATTTAAATAACTTTTTTATTCAAAATTCATTCTAAATTATCAGGAAACTTCTGTTTTCACACAATCTGCTAATTATATAAAGCTGATGTAACTATTTATTTATTAAAGTTAATAAAGTATTATTTTTTGCAGAATAAAATTTATAAATATAAATGAAGACATTGCAAGAGTTATATTGCTTCAAGCATAAATTCAAGCAAAAAAATTAATTATAAAAAAATAAACTCTTTATAAGATGTCATTTAAAGTTTGTAATGTTTTTAATTTTTTTAATAAAATCAATTATAACAAAACAAACAAACAAAAAATTAAAATACCAAAAATGGCTAATATAAAAATAAAATTTAACGTGTCTTTTAGCTAATAAATTTTTGTTTTGTTTTTTAATTAAAAAAAAAAAATTCGGTAATTATTTTTGTTGATTGTTCTGAGAAATTGTCTAAGTAAATATTCTTGCTATTTCAAGATGATAAATATGTTTTTTTAATGTTTCTTTCATGATTTCTTTTTTTTAGCGTCAAAATAATTTTTTCTTTTTCGCTATGCTGAACATTTTTGGAAAAAGAAATAATAAAAATAAAACTTTGTTTTTTTCTTAACTTAATACATTTGCAAATAGCGTGAATATCAAATATAATTTTTTAATGCAAACTTTTTTATGTAATCGTCATTCAAACTTTATAAGTGGTTTTTATAATGTTAATAACTTATTTTATCTTACAATTTAAGACCTGCTTAAATATTAGAAAAATGTTAAAAAGTGGTTCGACCAAAATGGTCAACTGGTTACGTTAAATGGCTTAGCGTGTACATAAATGGCACGCCAGTTTACGCTTTAAAACAGCTATATTAATATCAATTTAAAGTTTTTGTTGAGGAAAAAAATTAGTTTTTAAATTATATTTTAAATAAATTACTAATTAAGCAGAAATTAGATAACAAAAAAAAAAAAGCATTACAAAAGAAGTTAATGACAGCATCACATAAAGTAAATTTAAAATTAAGCAAAAGAAATCCTAGAGATTAGAGAAACAAATTTATTTAAATGAAAAACAGTAAGAACAACAACATTAGGCTAAAAAGATTTCTTGAATCAAAGCGGAACTAAACTTTGTCTTATATCAAAAACCACTCAATTTATTAGAAACAATAGTAACAGTATTTTAAATAACAATAGTTGTAGTAATAATAGTAGCTGTAGTGACAGCAGTTAAGGTAACGTCAGTTGTAGTAGAAGATGTAGTAACAGTAGTTGTGGCAACAGTAGTTGTAGTAACAGCAGTTGTAGTAGCAGCAATTGTAATAGCAGCATTAGGTTGTAGCAAGTTGTAAACAATAAGTAATAATTTTAAATAAAATTAAAAAAATAAAATATAATAGTATAGCCTCCTTAACTGTAAGGGGCTCTTGGCCTTATGCAGGTTAACTTTTTATATAGTTTTGTTATAAAAATGTTATTATGATATAATTTAATATTTTTATTTATAAAAACTTCAAATTAAATTAACAAAATTTAAAATTAATTAAATAGATATAATAATTAGTTAAATAATATAATTATTAGTTATAAATAATATAATATAAAAATATAAATGATAATATAATACAATAATAAAAAATTATAAAAATAATATAATATAAAAATATAAATGATAATATAATAATACAATAATAAAAAATTATAAAAATAATATAATATAAAAATATAAATAATATAATAATTAGTTAAACGATAAATAAATAGTTAAAAAAATAGTTGAATAAAAAATTAGTTAAATAAAAATTAAAAAAAAATTCACCTGTTGGAGTGTTTGCTTGTAAAACGGCAAGATTCTGGCACTTTCCATGAATAGGGAACTTCAATTTTATATCTCCATTTACTTTTTTCACTGAGGATATTTTGCCTAATGTTTCAGAGTCTGACTCACAAAAGTAAAGTCTGTCAAGATATATAGCAAGACCTGTAACTGAATCAAGGCTATAGGCTATAACTGTTACTAACATATCTTTTGTATTTAACCTTAGTATTTTGTGACTGTTTTTTTCAATCCAGTATATACTACTATCATTAACATCTACAGCTAATCCACTCACTTCCTTAGTGACATTTGTTAGAAAACGCTGCTTTGAGCCATCAAGATTTGATTCATAAAGAGCTGAATGTTGAGATGGATCATATGTTTCTTCTATCCAATATAACTTTCTACAAAAATATGTGTGTGTGTATATACATATGCAACACACAGTTGTGGACAGGAAAGGCGTGCAATAGCACTCCAATTTTGACCACACATGTAATTGTTTTTTTTCTAAAAGCTTGACCACAGCTCAGATAATCAAAAATGCGCTGAGTAAAATCGTCAGAGAAAAAAAAATTTAAACAGGCTAAACTATATAAAAAAAGAATTTTAACGAAACAGAAATTAAAATTAAAAATTAAAACTTACAGCTCTAATAAAAAATCAACTAATAAAAATCTGCAAAACTAAAACTCTAATAGAAAATTATTTGTAATGTTTTGTAATTAAGTTAAGGTTGAGTAATTCATCATGTTGGTTTGACGGGTTTCTAACTGATTTTTTTTTATATTAGGAGAATAGCAAATAAATCTTTTTTTCTTTTTTTTTTTAATGTATAAATAAAAATACAGTACAATCTCACTAATTCAAATTTAATAGGGAAAAATAAAAGTTTGAGTTAGATAGATTGTCGAATTATAGTAAGAATTATAGAACTTTTTTTCAAATATTATTTTCAAAGTAATGAATAGAAATCAAACAAAGAAATAGTAATTCTTAGGCCTAAAAGCAATATATATTGTGTTTTAAACTTTTAAATTTGAAAAAAAAAAGTCAGTAATTGTAGATTGTCTTTTATGAATAAATTCATGTCAAATATACGATTTATATCTTTAAAGGGATCCCAAACTATCCAAATACATGTTGTGTTCATATTAAAGATAATGCAGAAAAAAAAGGTTTGAACCAAGTTTTCTGATTAAAAATAAATAATGAATGCATACCAAGAAAAACTAATGTTGTTGTTTTAGCCGAAGCTTGCCTTCTCTGTTTTCTTCAAAAACTCGGAGTCTTTAAATTATACATCACAATCTACAGACTTTGGCGATTCCTTTGAAGCGCGTTTAATTCATAAAAGTTTGAGTATTTGACGTCACGGAAGACTTTTAACAAATGAAAAGTGTAATTCTGCGTTTTTCTACTTTAATTCAAAAAGTACGATGCAGTATGTTTTTAACATACAGCAAAACAAATTTATTTGTATTATTTTTCCAAAACATCGCAAAAAAATTTTTGTAAAAAGTAAAAATGATAAATTATTTTTATTTAATATGAGCTTATTTTTTTACAGATATCTTAATAATTTTTAGATTTATATATCTTACTTATATTTCTTTTGTTTTTAAATTAAAACAAATATTAAAGCTTTACTTAATAATCTTATAATTTTCATACATTTTTTATGATTTTAGTATTTTACATTATATAGAACGTTATATATACAGTCTATCGTTTTTGTGCAAGAGAGCGCAGTATTATATATTCTGAATCTTACTAATTTTTATATAAACAATGGAAACTATTTTCTAACTTCTCTGGTCATTTTTACGCTCTGATATTTTTTGTTTTCCTGTCGAAAAAAAGTATTTATTAACAACTACTTTCATCAACTATTGTTTAGGAATATATAATGAACTGTTAAATTTTTTTATTATAAAATTTTTTTGATTACACTGATTTAATTTAAATTGCTGAATTTGCTAAATTGGATATGAATAAAAGGGAAATATATTTTGCATTTGATTTTTGATAACGAAATTTTCAAAATGTCGGCAACTCGATACCAACTAGAACCTGTTAAAGTATGAAAAAAAAGTACATGAATACACTAAACAATACAGGTGACAGTAGTATCAGAAATGAAAATTCGTGAAGGAATTTGTGAGATCCTGGTTTGCATTACTAGTACAACCAATAACAACACAAGTTGGAACTATAAATTTTGATTATGAGTTTACTGTTCGATATTTTATAACCATCAAATTGAAAACATGAAGTATGTATATTTTTGCTCATTTTATACAATTAACATTTAACAAAAATACAGACAAATTATTACTATTTAACGCAATAATTAACATATTAATTAATGGCAATAATTCAAGATAGATGGTAATTTAAATTGTTAAAGTGTCATAACGCGCGTTAAAAATCATATTATAGTTGGTATTTCCCAATCAATGTGTTGTAATTAGCATTTGTCTCTTAACATGGAAAATTAATGTGTTGTAATTAGCATTTGTCTCTTAAAATGGAAAATTAATGTGTTGTAATTAGCATTTGTCTCTTAACAATGGAAAATTAAAAAACTAACAAAATTGACATACAAGTTTTCTAGCAATTTTCTCTTTCAATTCCTATTTATTTAAAGAAAAGTTACAATTAAACTTTAATTTCTCTTATCTAAAAAAAGATAGAGTGACGCAAAAAAAAAAAATTCTATACAACACTCATTCATTCAAAGTTTAATTACGTGAAACTTTTCTTTCACTTTTGTTCTACTTTTTTATAAAAAGAGCGCGCTTATATAAAAAAAAGTTTTCAACTTTTATAAAGCTTTTATAAAAAGAATGATGAAATGAAAACTTTTCTTTCTTAACATAGAATTAAATTTAGAGATAAAATTAAATTAGAAATAAATCAACAATGAGCAGAACAATCTGGGACTATTTTGATATTGATGAAAATAATCAATATAAACAACATAAATCACAACAGCAATCAATTAAACAACAAAATCGCACAATTTTAGGGTTTTTTTTATTTATTGCTTAGTTGTTCTAAATAATAAGTAAATTGGGTTCAAGTTGATATGTCAATATCTACAGTTGCAATATAATAAAAAAAAGTCTTTATTGTTAAAATTTTTATTTAGTTATTTATTTTCTACCTAGATTTGTTGCAAAAAGACTTTTAAACCCTCGTCATTAAAATCATTTGTTTTAAATATGGATGGTTAAGCGCCAAACCTGCCTATACAACACAGTTGAAAAAAATAAGTTTGTGCTAAAAAAGATTTAGGTAGTGTTTTTTTGCTAACACTAATATACTATGATTAAAATTTTTAAGTGCACTTAACTGCAAATACTTTTAGTTTTTTTTTGGTTTAGTAGCTTTTGTTAAAGACTTTTAAACTTTGCGTCTAATTACATTGTTTCAACATATTCATTGTATAGGCAGGTTTGGCGCTTAACCTTCCATATATTTTGACATGATTTTTCACACTAAGTTTTTTTCATTGGACTTCCCAAACTTCATGCAAAGCAAATTGAGACAAAATATTGTCTAACCAAATAAAAATGCTGTTACCAATTTTATACGGGTAATTAATACTGAATCTTGATTGGAATAATAAATATTCATCATTTATAAAGATTAAATAAATGGCGCAATAACAATTTATAGCAACAAACCAGTATTAAATATTTGAGGTTTTTAATATCTTTTTAAATGTTAAAATAGAAAAAAAAACTAAACAAATAATCAAAAAAATTTCGAATAAAAATAAATAAAAACATTTCCAGAGTTTCATTTGTTAAAAGCCTACTGTGACGCCAAAAAAAACTTTTATTAATTAAACGCGCTTCAAAGAAATTGCCTAAGTCTGTAGATTGCAACGTATAATTTGAAGACTCAGAGTTATTGAATAAAATGGAGAAGGCGAGCTTCAGCTAAAACAACATTAGTTTTTCTTGGTTTGCATTAATTTTTTATTTTTAATAAAAAAAAAAATTGGTTCAAACTTTTTTTTTTAATATTATCCTAAGTATGAACACAACATATGTTGGGAGTTTGGGATCCCTTTAAGAGCCAAAGCTTGAAAATTTTTTAAGCATAACTCTATCGCAAAATAAGCTTTTTATTTTACAAGCAAGCCAATAGTTGGTACATTATCAGCTCTCATTCGTTTGAACCATTTAAGTACAGCTTTGTTTACTAGGTAATACAAATCAACTTTCACCTGTTTAGTCGAATTTCCTTGACAAAAAGCATCAAAGATTTTATTTTTATTCTTTTTTCAGGTTGAAAGAGTGTTTAGTGGAATATCAAAAAATTTTCAAAAACTCTTTATTTGTTTTTCTTTTTTTCAATTCTATTAGATTTTTTTTGTTTCCGCTTTAAATTGTTTTCCTTATGCCTCTTTGATGTCATGATTTTTTTTAAACAGTAGAAGATAATTTACACTAATCGTATTTCAAAAACTCACAACATTTGAAATTTGAAATAAGATTTTGACAGTTTAATGAGCATTTTACGGGTCAGAAGTTAAAAAAGTTTGAATTACAGAGAGAATTTTACTGACAGGTCTAAAAAATCCATTCGAATTGTGGAGGTTTTTGAATTATAGAGATTCGAATTATAGAAAGCTAAACGTAAGAGTTTCTTATACCCATTTCAAGGTGACTTTGCATTTAATTGAAATAAGGAGGTTTTCGAAATAAGGAGATTCGAATTAGAGAGATTGTACTGTATTTATGATTATTTTTTATTCATGTATTTTTATATATCAATCAAAAAAAAAAAAAAAATACATAATCAAATAGAAAAGCAATAATATGAAAACTTTAATAAAACATTAAAAAAATTAAGATTCATTATAAATTCTCCTAATACAATTACAAACTTTTCAAACCAACACGAGAAACTATAAAACTTTATTCTTTTCTAATGTTTTTATATTAGGCGAACTCTTTTAAATAAAAAAAAAACTAAGATCTAATTATCAACTAAAAAACATCTAATTATCATTTAATAAAAAACTAATTTTATTTAAATTATCAAAAAGTTTATTAAAACAATTGCTTTTGTTGTTATTTATAAAATTAATTGTACAAATCGTTTTAAAAACATTTACATTGATCATAAAAAATACAATTTTTAACAACATAATATCTTTCGATAATTTAAATAAATGTCTTTTATAGTATACAATCTTTAAAAGCAATTTCTAGCTATACTTAACGCATTTTTGAAACGTTTTCAAATATCTGAAAAGCTATGGTTAAGTTGTAGCAAATATTAAATAAATACGTGGTCAAGATTAGAGTGCGATTGCACATCTTTTCTACCCACAACTGTATAGATATAAATATATATATATATATAATATATATATATATATATATATATATATATATATATATACATATATATATATATATATATATATATATATATATAAATATATATATATATATATATATATATAAATATATATATATATATATATATATATATATATATATATAAATATATATATATATATATATATATATATATATATATACATATATATATATATATATATATATATATATATATATATATATATATATATATATATATATATATATATATATATATATATATATATTTACATATATATACATGCATAAATATATACATATACGTGTATATATATGTATATATATACAAGGCTCGAAATAAGCGCCGGACATTATCCGCCACTTCTCCAGTAAAAAATGACATCTAGCAGTCATTTTGTCAGACATATTTTACGTGCATTTATTTTCTAATCATTTTAGTTGTTCTAAAGTTATTAATAAATTCAGTATTGTATACAAACTTTATTTTTTGATCTTTTTATTTAAAACAAAATTAAAGTTTTAAATAAAAAAACACACGACTACATTAATAAAATACGTCATTTTTTTGAGTTAATTCATTTTTTTAAAAGATGCCAAAATATTAAATTTTTTTGAAGTACCCCTGATTTTATCGCTCATATTAAAACGTTGCAATTATTTATTAATTTAAAATTTTGGTTAAGTATTTATTTTATTTTTTATCCAATGGTTTTTATAAATTTCCAACAAATATTTTAGCTTTTAAAACCCCTTCTAAATTTATATTATAAAAATTTTAATGTAATAGTTATTTTAATGCACATAGAAACCAGTATTTTTTATTACTCTATTAAACTTGATTAGTTAAGTAACGTTTGTTTTCAAGCTAAAAATGTTTGCTATTAAAAGTGTTTATAAAATAAAAACTAGAAAAAGCTTGAAAAAATTTATAAAAAAAAACATATTTATATAAATGTAATTACGTATAACATTCTTTGATAATTAAATAAAATGGGCTTATTGTAAACATTATAATTAATTTATTACTTTATTTAATAAAGTAAAAAGTAAACTTAATAATTTATGTATTTAATTATTTACATAGTAATTTATGTATTTAATAATTTTGTTTTTTTATAATATATTTTTATTACATATTTAATTATGTATTTAATAATTACATATTTTATGTACTTAATATATTTACACAATTTATGTATTTAACACAACTTATGTATTTAGTTATTTAAAAAGCATTTCGCATAGTATAGTAATTTTTAAAAAACATAATATGAATATATTTTCTTTTTTAAATTTAAGTTTTTTGAGTTTAGATTTTTTCTTTTTCTTTAAAATTTTCTTTTTATTAGATAATTAATCTTACAAATCTTACAAATTTTCTTTTTATTTGCAGCACATTTTGAAACGCCTAGAGTTGTCAAAAAAAATTGCGTGCTCAAGTTGTAAAAACAAAATATTTTATGTGTGGGTAAGGAATGGCGTTTGATCACACTTCTATAACTCTTATATAACACTTCTATAACTATAACAAAATAATTTATGTGTGGGTAAGTTTGATCACACTTCTATAACTCTTATTGATCAGACATGTCCAGCAAACTTGAGTCTTTATCAGACAAATTGTCCGGTAAAAAAAAGTTTGTTATTTCAAGCCCTGTATTTCAAGCCTTGCCACACACACACGCACACACACACACACAGATATAAATAATTAGAGAATCAATTTTCAAATTTTTTTATTATACATAAATAATTAAAATTCATTATTTACTAAAAGTCAAAGTAAAAAGTTGTAAAAAGCTGATTTACCTTATAAAACTATTTAAAGCCAATAAAGTTGTATGAAAACAACATAGCTTATCACTTGTACAACAATGCCTATTAGCGCTGATGATAGTTTTTCGAAAATATCCATTTAACCTAGATACTTCAATTTTATTCTGTTGACTCCAATAAACATTTCCACTAATCTGATCTAAAGCCAAACCTTCAACAAGATCATAAAAGCCAGTTTGAAAAATTCCAGGATTACTGTTATGGTTGAGAGAAGCACCATTGATTGAACTTGGACCAGATTTATCAATCCAAATTATAGTCCCGCTTTTTAAATGTACAGCAATAAATGACACATCTTTTCCAGTGACTTTTATAACACCTGTACTATTACTTTTCTCCAATGAAATAGTACTGATTGATGTGCTAGTAGAATAGATAAGATTAGCTTCCAGTGCTAAAAATACAATTAACAAAAAACTAGATTTAAAATATATGACCAAAATCAACTTAATTTTTAAAAATCCTTAAAACAAATTTTATGTTACTTTCAATTTATAATTACTTACGTTTGCAACTTTTTTTATTCATATTTAATTCATAACCACTTGGACAACCACATCTTATATTGCCACTTGGCTTGTAAAAACAGAAGTGAGAACAACCAGCATTATTGTGGCATGTGTTATTACCAGTTGTGGTAATACTTGCTGCCTTTACACCCATAATGTCAGGAATATCATTTACAACCAACTATCACGAAATAATATGTAAGAATATAAAAGAAAATAATTTTTTATTTACTTTTGTATTTTTCATAACATACAAAAGTTTTGAATTAAAGTGTGACATAAGCAAAACTCTATTCTATTAACAAAACCTAAAGATTATAAACATTTTTTAATGAGATCTAATGGTTCTCAAAAGATTTATGCTTTGTGTATAATAAGCAAGCTGCATGGTAAAAAAAAAAAGATTAAAAAATATCTATAAAAAACCAAATACATATGAAATTTGAACAAAACATGAATCAATGATAAAATAAACAAATGTTTATATATATATATATATATATATATATATATATATATATATATATATATATATATATATATATATATATATATATATATATATATATATATATATATATATATATATATATATATATATATATATATATATATATATATATATATATATATATATATATATATATATATATATATATATATATATTTGAGAAGAACTTTTTTATGCTGATTTTTTATGCTGAATTTCTCCGCACAGCAGCCTTGTTCATCAAAGTTGGTGTTTCAGAGTTAGAGTTGAGAGATGGTTGTAACCACAATTAAGTAGCCTTTTCATCTGAAGTGGCCTTCTTAGCCTTAGTGAGGTGAGTTAAAATAAAAAACGATTATTAAAAATTAGTGTTATCTTTGCATTTAGCTAAACTAAAGTTTACTCTTAAGTTTAGTGAAAATTTATGCAGAGCCAGGTGACTTTGGTATACCTTTAAATTACTGAAGATTAAAAAAAAATAGCATTTTAATGTATTTAGTTTTTTTATATATCAAAACAATATAATTTGATATTATACACTATATCATATTTTACATAATTGATTTTGATATAGTTTTAAAAATAAAAATTTATACTAAGTGGTATTTTCAAAAGCAAATTAAGATTAAAAATAAAGTCATAAAAACTATCATTTTTGATACTAGCCATAATAACATCCAGCTGATTAAACTTTATCTTAAATTGTAATCAATTAATAAAATGAAAAATGTTTTGAAAAACAAATATTGTGTAATAATTTAAAATAATTTAAAATTAAGTAATTTAAAGCCATTGAAACCTGTTTATTTTTTCAAACAACAAGCAACCTACTTTGTTTTGAATTAATGTTTATAAACAAAAAATAACAGCAGAAGTAATCAGTTGAGTATTAGGAAGATTTATCTGCAAAATTTAAATAATTTTTCATAATGTATTATGGGTCATTACATATCAAGTAGACTATTAAGCTCTGACAAGCAAATTCTGATAATTTTAATTAAACTATCGTTTAAAATTTTCTCAAAATTATAATCTTTAGTAGCAAAACTATATTTTATTTGTTCTTTAAAGATTGTTTTTAAAACAAAACAAATTAACAAAAGATTTAACTTATCTAATTATCTAATAATAAAAACTTAAAAAAATCTTTAAAGATTTGAAAAATGCAATTTTTGTAGAACCAATATCAGTTGTAGAAATCACATGATGGATTTGATCTTATGAAAATATCTCATATCCATTTCAAATAAACAAAAATTTTGGGATCAACATTGTTTTTATCAATTTAATTTTTCAGACTTCTTAGCTTTTCTTTCAATAATACAAGAAAATTGTTCTGACAAATTTTACACATTGTACTACAAGGTAACCTTGTATTACAGAATAAGCACCGGCGAAGTTTGTTTAAACGAATTTCTTTTGATACAAAATACCAAATAATCGTTAAACTTCGAATACAAAGTTGACCGAATATTCGGTCCCCATAAAACTTCATTCAACAAGTACTATTCGTTCCACTATTTGTTAAAAATCTAAAAGTCGATTCAAAGTTAAAAAACCGGCTTTTGCTACTTTGTTTTTTTAATAATTGCTACAATAAATTTTTTTTTTTTTTTAAAACATATTAACAATCTCTTAGCACATTAATAGAACTTTGTATAATTCTCTGTAGAAATTATTAATGATTTGTACACAAATAATTCCATTTGGGCCTTACAAAAGAATTATCTTGAGAACGCATATAAAAACCATTAAAAAGTAAAAATTATGAAAACTAAAAATACAAAAGAAAACAGTGAACATTTATTATAAGACATTTATACATATTTAAAAAAAGGATATTTATTAGTTTTTGTTTTTATATTGCTTTATTAGAAATAAATACTTGGTTTCTTTCCTTTGATCATATCTTTGTTTAAGTGAATTTTACTGTTTATGGAAAAATTGTTTAATATTATTTTTATTTGGTTTTTATTATTACCATTCCTTCTTTTTTTTTTACTTTTTCAATTTTTTTTTTCATCGTCACTTTTATTTATGCATAATTTGTTAACGTTTTGTATCATTTCTTATAATCATAGTTTATCATTGTTAATTGGCTATCAAGGATTTTTTGACCTGCATAGGTAAAAATGAAAAAAAACCTGCCTTTTAACAACAAAATTAAAAAATATTAATTTTTTATAGTAAAATATAATTATTAGTATAAATAATTATTTTTGGTGTAGTATGATTATTTACTTATTTTTAATGTGATGATTGTTTAGGAAAATGAATACTTTAAAGAATTTTGTTTACATTACTTATTTTTGTCTAAATGCCTAAAGAAAGTCCAATTTATCCAACTACTTTGACAAAAGCACACCTGAAGAGGGAAAAGCTGCTTACAACCATTGTGACAATGTACTTAATATGCCACAACGCTCAACTTTTACTCTTTATATGCATCTTAAAGGGAAACATCCAGTTATTAACACACAATTTGAGGTAAACAAAAAGAGAGTTGCAGAAGATTTGGCTAAGCAAGCAAAAAAAGAAAAAACTACTGCTGGTCTTGCCAGAAAACCCTCACCGGAACATTTCAAGCCAAACTTGTTTACAATCTTACGGTTATGTTGTGCATAACCAACACTCCATTCAATCTAGTATCCGCGAATGGTTTTGTTAGATCTATTAAATTAATTGACTCAAAACTCACAATCAAAGACTCTACAAATTATTATCAGAGGTACCTCCCTGAATTATATTGCAAAGTGAAAAAAAATCACAGATGATTTCAGCAAAGATGTTTTTACTCTCACAGGTGTAACATTTACTACAGACATGTGGACCAGTAGAAATAATGACTCTTACAGTTTTAGTCAAAGCTTGTCTTCTCCATTTTCTCTGGTATTTTGAGTAAAATAAACGCGATTTTCCAGGCGCATTATACAGACTTGATAATTTATTCAAGCGCGTTTAATTTAGAGGAGTTTTAGTGCATGATGTCATTTTTTGTTTGTTTAAAACACCGATTGTTATTTTTTTACATACAATTTCCAAATCATATTCATTTTTATTATATTTTAAAGTTCTAAAATGTGTTTGTAAAATAAAATTAAAAACAAAATAAAATTAAAAACAGAAATAAAATTAAAAACAAAGTAGTATTTTATATACGCAACTTTTTTTAAATAATCGTCTAGACCACGTGTATTTTGATTTCTTTTGTTATAAGTTTTTCTTTCAAAATATTAGATAAAATAATTTTTAACCTAAATAATAATGCATTTTTATTAATTTACTTTGTAAATATTAAAAAAAAAAATTAACGCATTTTTTCTCTGATTTTCAAAAATGTATTTTTTGGTATTGAGGTGATCTTATTTCATTATTTATATTTCCATTATAACATCCAATATATATTGGATGTTATAATGGCATATATATGGTGGGGGGCATAATATTAATTTTTATTTTACAGACATACATGGAAGCATAATTAACTTTAATGTTCATATTCATTTTTATTTTACAGACATACATGGAAACATAATTAACTTTAATGTTCTTAAAACATCTTGCGGAAGAATAAAAAGAATATTCGCGAACACTAAAAACCCGCCAAATTTGCGAACAAACTAATTGTGGACTTTTATATCTTATTTTCAGCCCTTGGAATTAGGGTCGGCATTCAGCAATGGTGACCTAACTGCTGACCTTAAAGTGTTTGAAGTCAGCAAAAAAGTTGCTGACCCCATTTCTTTGTTTTATGGTAACCTTTTTGTCAAAATTTTTTGTCAAATTTGAAAATTAAATTCAAAAAGAATTGAAAATTAAGCAGCAACTTATACAACAAATTTGTTCAATTTTTATAATCAATTATAACTTATTATGTTTTATTATTGAGTTACGAGGTGTGTTCAAAAATTAAGGTGACTTTGTATTTTTAAGAAAAAACATTTATTTATTTATCAATATTTATTTTGTCCCCTTCAAAGTAATCCCCTCAGATACAATACTTTTATGCCAACGGTTTTTCCAATCCTCAAAGCACTTCTTATAAGCACTTTTCGGTATAGCCTTGAGCTCTTCCAGCGATGCAGTCTTTATCTCTTTAATCGTTGCAAATCTCCGTCCTTTCATAGATCTCTTTAGTTTTGGGAACAAGAAAAAGTCACATGGGGCCAAATCCATATATGGTGAATATGGTGGCTGAGACATGATTGTGGTGATGTTTTTGGCCAAAAAATCTCTCACAAGCAAAGATGAGTGGGAACTCCTGATGAACCACGCCATGGTAATCGAAGAAAACACTGAACAAAACTTTGACATTTGATCGAACTTGGCGTGCTTTTTTTGGTCTTGGCTCACCTGGGCTTTTCCATGGTGACAATTGGGCTTTGATTTCGATATCATAACCATAAATCCATAATTCGTGACCAGTTATGACGCTTTTTACGTTTTTGCCCAAAATGTTACAAAAAATTTCATGGCACGAGCCAAGCGATATACCAACATCATCAGCAACTTCTCTGATAGTGATTCAATGATTTTCCAAAACAATTTTCTTCACTGCTTGAACGTTTTTTGTTTTGTTTTGTTTTTATTTTTTATTTGCATTCACTCCCAACAAGGCTGCAAGCAACCACTATTAAGTTGGGAGTTACTAGGAAAAAAAAGAACAGAGTTATAGAGCAAGGAAACGGTTG